CAGCGCAGCGCCGTCGCAGGAGACCAGGGGGAACAGCGTCGGGGGCGTCACTCTCCCTGCGGACCGGGGACAAAAGAGAAGGGGTGAGGACTGTGCCCTGGGGCCCGGCCGGGCAGGGGTCTCTCTCTGCGCCCGCCCCGCCGCGGCTGCCCCTCGGAGGCCTGGGGTCCTCGTACCCGGCTGCGGGGGGCGGGGAGCCCCCACCTGCTGCAGAGCACAGCTCCGAGCGCCCGGGCAGGCCTGGGGGCTGGGGAGCAGGCGGACCGAGCACTCCTGTCCCCACCGATCTGGCTGCCGTCCGCTGGCCCCGTGCCCGCTCTGCCTTCCCCCCGCGGCGTTGGAGCGGCTGTGTTGGCACGCTGAGCTCGAGCACACGGAGGGCCCGGGCTCCACGTCCCGACACGAAGCTGGAGCCACACGAGGCGGCCGACGTGGAGGGGAGCCCTCCCCCCGCCAGGCTGCGCCAGCCCTGTCTCACTGCAGCCCCCTGAAGTCCCCTGACCGGGCACCCCGGGCCCTGTGAGGTCAGAGGGAGGCTGGGCGTGGTGAGGAGCCCTGTGCGCACGTAGCTAACGCGGGCAGCCGAGCCCGGCAAGATCACCGAGATCAGCACAGCACGGCGTCGGCCAAGACAGGCCAGCACAGCCCCTGAGCCCAGCTGAGGTCGTCCCAGCCCAAAGCAGCGAAATGAACTCATTCCCGTCAAGGCAAACCAGAGGGACTGGCTGTGTGGGACCAGGCTGACCTCACCCTAACAAGCCCAGGTCAAACCCCAAACCAGGCCAGGGCAGAAGAGCCCACGTCAGACAAGCCCAGCCCAACCCATCCCATCCCATCCCAGCCTAGTTCAACTCAACCCAGCCCAGCTCAGCCCAGCTCAGCCCAGCTCAGCTCGGCCCAGCTCGGCCCAGCTAGGCCCAGTTCAGCCCAGTTCAGCCCAGCTCGGCCCAGCCCGGCTCAGCCCAGCCCAGCTCAGCCTGGCACACCTCTTCCCAGCTCGGCCCAGTTCAGCTCAGCCTGACTCAGTTCAGGTCAGTTCAGCCCAGCTCAGCCCAGCACAACTTGGCCCAGCTCAGCCCACCTCGGCCCAGCTCGGCCCAGTTCAGCCCCGTTCAGCCCAGCTCTGCCCTGCCAAGCTCAGGCCAGCTCAGCTCAGCCCAACCCAGGTCAGCCCGGCCCGGCCCAACCTAGCTCAGCCCAGTTCAGCTCAGCCTGGCTCAGTCCAGCCCAGCTTGGCACAGTTCAGCCCAGCCCAACCCAGTCCAGCTCAGCTCAGTTCAGCCCTGCTCTGCCCTGCCAAGCTCAGCCCGGCCCGGCCGAACCTAGCTCAGCCCAGCCCAGTTCAGCCCAGTTCAGCCCAGCTCAGCCCAGCCCGGCTCAGCCCAGCCCAGCTCAGCCTGGCACACTTCTGCCCAGCTCGGCCCAGTTCAGCTCAGCCTGACTCAGTTCAGGTCAGTTCAGCCCAGCTCAGCCCAGCACAGCTTGGCCCAGCTCAGCCCACCTCGGCCCAGCTCGGCCCAGTTCAGCCCCGTTCAGCCCAGCTTTGCCCTGCCAAGCTCAGCCCGGCCTGGCCCAACCTAGCTCAGCCCAGCTCAGCTCAGCACAGCCCAGTTCAGCCCAGCTAAGCTCAGCCTGGCTCAGCCCAGCTCAGTCCTGCCAAGCTCAGCCTAGTCTGGCCCAAACTAGCTCAGCCCACCCCAGCTCAGTCCTGCATAGCCTGACCCAGTCCAGCTCAGCCCAGTTGAGCCCAGCTCTGCCCTGCCAAGCTCAGGCCAGCTCAGCCCAGCATATCTCAGCCCAGTTCAGCCCAGCCCAGCCCGGCTCAGCTCATCCAAGCTCAGCTCAGCTCAGCCCAGCTCAGCTAATCCCAGCCCAGCTCAGCCCAGCCCAGCTCAGCCCAGCTCGGCCCAGCTCAGCCCAGCTCAGCCCAGCTCAGTTCAGCCCCTTGGCCCAGCTCGGCCCAGCTCGGCCCAGCTTGGCTGAGTTCGGCCCAGCCCAACCCAGCTCAGTTCAGCCCGGCCCAGCCCGGCTCAGCTCATCTCAGCTCAGCCCAGCTCAGCCCCTCGGCCCAGCTCGGCCCAGCTCAGCCCGGTTCGGGCCAGTTCGTCCCAGTTCAGCTCAGCCCAGCTCAGCCCAATTCGGCCCAGCTCGGCCCAGCTTGGCCCAGCCCAGCTCATTCTAGCTCAGCCCAGCTCGGCCCAGGCCAGCCCAGCCCAGCCCAGCCCAGCCCGGCTCAGCTCACCCCAGCTCAGCTTGGCTCAGCCCGGCCTGGCCCGGCCCAGCCCCGCTCAGCTCATCTCAGCTCAGCCCCTCGGCCCAGCTCGGCCCAGCTCGGCCCAGCTCGGCCCAGTTCAGCTCAGCCCAGCTCGGTCCAATTCAGCCCAGCTCAGCCCAGCTCGGCCCAGCCCAGCCCAGCCCAGCCCAGTTCAGCTCAGCCCAATTCAGCCCAGCCTGGCCCAGCTTGGCCCAGTTCAGCCCAGCTCAGCCCAGCCCGGCTCAGACAGTTCAGCTCAGTCCAATTCAGCTCAGCTCAGCTCAGCTCAGATCAGCTCAGCCCAGCTCAGCCCGGCTCGGCTCAGCCTGTTTATTCCAGGTAAACTCAGGCCAGCTTTGCCCACCCTGGTCTGCTCCTGAAGCCGGCAGAATGGTAGCGGCTGCAAAGGGGCCGCGCAGCAGCCCCTCTGCCTGAGCTAAAGCCACCTGGTTCCGGGGTTCCTGCGCAGCCCGGCCGGCTGCCGTCCTCCCATCTCCCTGTGCCGGGCACCGCGTCCCAGGCCCCCCCAGGCTTGGCCGTGGCGTTGCCCAGAGCAGTGCAATCCCTACCACCCTCCCCTGCTTGGGGAAAGATCTGCTGGCATCTTCAAAGTCATGAAGACATCTTGAGATTTAGAGTGAGAATCTGGGGGCCTTTCTTATGCTCAAAACAAAAGCTCCTCGTGCCTTAGGATCGCTCTGCACTGAGCGAGGAGAGCATGGGGGACGTTCTCCGGGACCCTGCACCTCCTGGGCACCGCCTGGCCTGAACCGCTCCCTTCTGAGTCTACAGCGAGCCCCTGGCTCTAAACTCCTCCGGATAACAATCACCCCTGGAAATGACCAGGAGAGGCGTTTATCTGGATTCGACCCCACTCTGGGAGACCGGGCTGCCGTCCAGGGCGCGCGATGACCCAAAAGCCGCAGCTCGTCTGTGGCTCAGATAAGGACCACGCACGTGCTGCCTGTGTGAGCCGCTCATGCCAGAGACCTTGAAACGCTCTGTGGGAGAGTTGCCGTGAGCGACCCAGGCCATGGTCACCTGCAGCGCGCGCAGGAACAAGCCTCTTTCTCCCCATCAAGCAGGAAAGACCAGTCCCCCTCACGCAGAAGCAAAACCTCACCACAAACTTCTAAGAGAAGCAGATTCGGCATGGCGGCTGCCGCTCTCTTACCGCGTCACGGAGGGTCCCGTGGGGTCTTGGGTGCGGAGGGAGCCCTCCGAGTGCGTGAGAAACAGCCGGTCCAGGGACGCCAGTCGGCCTGGTGGCCGGAGCCACCGCCGCACTCTCCCAGCTCCGGGTGGGCCCCGGAGACCCGCAGCCAAGGCCAGGCCCGGTGGCAGCCGGCTCGGCCCGCAGGACTGGGCGCAGGGGCCTGCCTGCTGAGGGCTGCTGAGTTCCTTCCTTCGCACCACCGGCCCGAGTTTTCTCTGAATCCACCGAGTCGCGTGTCTAACTGACACGGTTCGGGACACCACCCGCATCTCACCTGACGCTCGTCCTAAAGTGCTCACTTGGAAAGTGGTCGTGAAAAATTCTGAAACGAAGGCGACTCTACCAGAATGTCAGTGTTTCCTCTTAATCACAGAGAGGAAGCTGACGAACTTAAAACCTGCCAACTCAGCCCGCGTAGAAAAAATGCCTCAATATGGGCAACCGTTAAGTACCCATAATAATTAAAAACAAAAATTAAAGAAAAATAATGCTTTGGGGCATTGGAGAAAGGTCTGAGAGTAATCGTTATATGAAGGAATGCAGAGTAATTTTAGAAGCTTTATGAATACGTTAATAAATTTTACCCAAGACTGTTCGATTTCTTAAACATCTTACTCTAAAAATGAATACAATTTAGAAGCCGATAAGCTCATTCTGAACAAATCGGAGGTTGATAAGATTAAAAAATTGAATTCAAGTAGTTAAAAAGGGAAGCATTCCAGTTTCTGCCAGCCTCGCCTTATTTTAGAAATGCAAACG